TCGTAAATCCCTACAAATGTTACCAAGTCGCCGCGACTTTATTGCATGAAAATAGTACATGTTCTATTTTAGGACAAGTTAGATCAGCTGATTAGTTGCACCGTGTGAACACCAAAAAATCACTGCGACCTAACGCTGCAGCAAAGTCGCCGAGAGAAGTTGCACCGTCAGACATAGGCTATAAATATACGAGCCGCCACTAGTTTATTTTTAAGTTTATACCCTGATGGCACACTTTATTCTAAGAATGTTTTTTAAACCTTCCAGTGAGAATATTCTTAGGATCATGCTATATTTCTTCTAAAGAACATGCTTAAAAGACATATAGCATGATCCTAAGATAAGGTAAGTAAAACATTATTTAAAAGATCTTTGTATACTCAGTTACACTCACTTATACACTATTATTTAATCCAGGGATTTGTTGTCAAGATATTTAAAATTTAAATTTAAAAGTAACCTATAGTGTCAGAAAAAAATCGGTGTGTATGTGTGCGCTTTACCATGTATATGTAGGCATGGGAAATAGGTATGAGGATCAACGCACCAACCGAAATATTTATATCTACACCGTTGCTGCTCAATATTGCTAACTGTCTCATTGAGCTACAAAGTTGGTTAAATTAGCAAATTGATGGTATTCTTCTTCTAAATAAAATGGTGAATATATAAAAACAATTGAATGTCGTGTTTGCAAAATATTTAGAAAAAGTAATTTAATTTGAAAAAAAAAATTATAATTGCATAACTACTGATAGCAAAATTTGATTTTAAGAATCTTCTAAGAAGATATTACCCGGAATAATGGAATATTTTTAGAACATTCCCTTATTGCTAAGAATGTTTTTAGGGACTTTTAAAACATTCAATGGATACCATTTTAATGATGCAATTAGATTCTTAAAAGCTTCTTAAAACCTTCCTAAAAAGCATCCTAAGAACATTTTAAGAATACGTTTTTTGGAATGTGCTTAGAAGGTTTCTTATGGAGCTTCTAGGAAGCTTTTGAGAATATTTCCAAATATGTCAGATACCCACGTTCTAATATGTTGTATTCTACATTCGTAAAATTCTTCAGGGGACGACAAATACGCCTTACTGTGAGATTTATTTGTCGCCCCCTTAAAAAATTTTGCGACATATAATATTAATATATATTTTTTTAAATAAACAATTTGACCTCTAAACCACAAGTTGTATGACATATTTCATAAAAAGTAAAATTGGAAAATTTTGTGGGATAAGTCAGATTGGATTGAAGTTGAAGATAGTTAGGAATATTATACATAAAAATGTTAATTCAGAAATAAAAAATCGGTATACAAATTAATAAATATTTATTTTTAACATAAAATAAAATACCTATGGCAAAAGTATTTTTGTTATCGAATATTGTTTTAATTTGACAAATAACTAAAGGGTGGGCCATCTATAAGTTGAATTTTAAACTACGTGCTATTAATGAAACTTTTAACTCAAGTGCCATGAATTGTTGACAGTGGTTTAGTTTTAACCTTCCGATTACAAAATAGGCACCGAATAAATTTGGTTCAACGTTTCGAAATACTCAAAACTTACTGTGATCGCAGAGACGGCAAGAAAATTGCGTTTGGAAGAAATGAGGCGCCGTCAAACCAAAGTATTACAAATTTGATCAAAAAATTGCGCAGAAATGGAATGCTGGTGGACAAAAAACATGTTTTGCATGCTCGTCCTAGACGTACACCTGTAGCAATCGCTGCTGTGGCCGAAAATGTACGCATGAACGCGTCAACATCAACTCGGCGCAGATGTCAACAACTCGGCCTTTCCCGTACCACTCTGAAGATGATTCTGCACAAAGACCTCGGTATGTTTGCGTACAAAGTCCAGCTTGTTCAGAAGTTAAAGCAAGTTGACCATCCACAACGTTTTCGCTTTGCTGAGTGGGCTTTAAACCAGTTGAACGATGACCCTAATTTTGCAAGAAAAATCATCTTTTCGGTAAGGCGCATTTTTACCTCGGAGGTTATGTCAACTGTAGGATTTGGGCCACGGAAAATCCACAAGTCGCCGTAACAAAGCCTATTCACCATTTAAAACAAAACATTCAAGCTCAAATTGCCTAAATAGAGCAGCAAACTTTTGACAAAGTGCTCGAAAATTGGTGTTCCAGGATGGGCTACTGCCGAGCCAGCTGAGGTGGCCACTTAAATAAAATCATTTTCCATACTTAATCGAAAGAAACATTGTATCAAATAAAGCAAAATTCGTTAAAATAAAATCAGTTTTTCTTGTGCTCATTGCTATTTTATAATTCAACATAAACATGGCCCCTTATGTTTATGTTTATGTTTATGTTTATGTTTATGTTTATGTTTATGTTTATGTTTATGTTTATGTTTATGTTTATGTTTATGTTTATGTTTATGTTTATGTTTATGTTTATGTTTATGTTTATGTTTATGTTTATGTTTATGTTTATGTTTATGTTTATGTTTATGTTTATGTTTATGTTTATGTTTATGTTTATGTTTATGTTTATGTTTATGTTTATGTTTATGTTTATGTTTATGTTTATGTTTATGTTTATGTTTATGTTTATGTTTATGTTTATGTTTATGTTTATGTTTATGTTTATGTTTATGTTTATGTTTATGTTTATGTTTATGTTTATGTTTATGTTTATGTTTATGTTTATGTTTATGTTTATGTTTATGTTTATGTTTATGTTTATGTTTATGTTTATGTTTATGTTTATGTTTATGTTTATGTTTATGTTTATGTTTATGTTTATGTTTATGTTTATGTTTATGTTTATGTTTATGTTTATGTTTATGTTTATGTTTATGTTTATGTTTATGTTTATGTTTATGTTGAACAAGAAAAACTGATTTTTTTTTAACGAATTTTGCTTTATTTGATACAATGTTTCTTTCGATTAAGTATGGAAAATGATTTGATTTAAGTGGCCACCTCAGCTGGCTCGGCAGTAGCCCATCCTGGAACACCAATTTTCGAGCACTTTGTCAAAAGTTTGCTGCTCAATTTAGGCAATTTGAGCTTGAATGTTTTGTTTTAAATGGTGAATAGGCTTTGTTACGGCGACGTGTGGATTTTCCGTGGCCCAAATCCTACAGTTTTGCTTGTTGACATAACCTCCGAGGTAAAAATACGCCTTACCGAAAAGATGATTTTTCTTGCAAAATTAGGGTCATCGTTCAACTGGTTTAAAGCCCACTCAGCAAAGCGAAAACGTTGTGGATGGTCAACTTGCTTTAACTTCTGAACAAGCTGGACTTTGTACGCAAACATACCGAGGTCTTTGTGCAGAATCATCTTCAGAGTGGAAAGGCCGAGTTGTTGACATCTGCGCCGAGTTGATGTTGACGCGTTCATGCGTACATTTTCGGCCACAGCAGCGATTGCTACAGGTGTACGTCTAGGACGAGCATGCGAAACATGTTTTATGTCCACCAGCATTCCATTTCTGCGCAATTTTTTGATCAAATTTGTAATACTTGCATATTTTGTAATCGGAAGGTTAAAACTAAACCACTGTCAACAATTCATGGCACTTGAGTTAAAAGTTTCATTAATAGCACGTAGTTTAAAATTCAACTTATAGATGGCCCACCCTTTAGTTATTTGTCAAATTAAAACAATATTCGATAACAAAAATACTTTTGCCATAGGTATTTTATTTTATGTTAAAAATAAATATTTATTAATTTGTATACCGATTTTTTATTTCTGAATTAACATTTTTATGTATAATATTCCTAACTATCTTCAACTTCAATCCAATCTGACTTATCCCACAAAATTTTCCAATTTTACTTTTTATGAAATATGTCATACAACTTGTGGTTTAGAGGTCAAATTGTTTATTTAAAAAAATATATATTAATATTATATGTAGCAAAATTTTTTAAGGGGGCGACAAATAAATTTCACAGTAAGGCGTATTTGTCGTCCCCTGAAGAATTTTACGAATGTAGAATACAACATATTAGAACGTGGGTATCTGACATATTTGGAAATATTCTCAAAAGCTTCCTAGAAGCTCCATAAGAAACCTTCTAAGCACATTCCAAAAAACGTATTCTAAAAATGTTCTTAGGATGCTTTTTAGGAAGGTTTTAAGAAGCTTTTAAGAATCTAATTGCATCATTAAAAGGGTATCCATTGAATGTTTTAAAAGTCCCTAAAAACATTCTTAGCAATAAGGGAATGTTCTAAAAATATTCCATTATTCCGGGTAATATCTTCTTAGAAGATTCTTAAAATCAAATTTTGCTATCAGGGTAGTAGTTATGCAATTATAATTTTTTTTTTCAAATTAAATTACTTTTTCTAAATATTTTGCAAACACGACATTCAATTGTTTTTATTTATTCACCATTTTATTTAGAAGAAGAATACCATCAATTTGCTAATTTAACCAACTTTGTAGCTCAATGAGACAGTTAGCAATATTGAGCAGCAACGGTGTAGATATAAATATTTCGGTTGGTGCGTTGATCCTCATACCTATTTCCCATGCATACATATACATGGTAAAGCGCACACATACACACCGATTTTTTCTGACATTATAGGTTACTTTTAAATTTAAATTTTAAATATCTTGACAACAAATCCCTGGATTAAATAATAGTGTATAACTGAGTGTAACTGAGTATACAAAGATCTTTTAAATAATGTTTTACTTACCTTATCGGGCATATTCAAATTTTAGGAAAAGCGCTTAGAGATGAAAATATAATCGCAAAAACTTTATTTCAGAAAATATACCCATTACAAATAAATTTAATTGGTCTTGGGGTTTTTTCAAATTTTAAATTTCACTAACCAAAAACTCGACCTTTTCATTTTCGTTGTTCTATGCTCGCTGTATTATCTTGTTTTGATAATAATACCTTTTAATTAAAGTATATTAAACTTTACTTGGAATCATGGTGGCTAAAAAATATTTCAGCATCTTGTTGAGTCGAATATTTTAAATATAATTTTGTGTTATGTATATAGATTATATAGAACACCCCCCACCAACCACAAAAGGAATACCCATATGTGATGTATCAATTCCACATCAAGAAAATCCCACTGACTGTCATTTGTTTTATCACTGTGTGTTTGGTGATGACAATGCACCAAAGTTAATAGAAAAATCTTGTGGAAGAGACATGATGTATAATCCTAAAACCATGTCTTGTGATTGGCCTGCCAACGTTGTCCTTTTAAAGTCTTCCTGTCAATTAAAAAAAGAAGAGGAATCTAGAAACGAAACAGGTAAGATTAGTTTATTTTAAGCATAATGCCCCTGAGTTAGTAGAAAGCAGCTTTGCGAAGTAGGATTTAAGTGATCTCCAAATAAAAAAACGAGGTTAATAAACCAAAAAAAATATAGTGTTCCTAAAACCAATATTTCACGTAAAAAAAAATAATACTTATAATAATTAGTACATTTAATGGTTTTAAAAGTTCCAAAGTAAAAGAGTTATAGTTTTTTGTGGGAAAATGTTAACCTACCACTACAGTTGACATGATATCAAACAATATAAAAAATAAATTCCCAAAAAATAAATTTGATGTCGAGGACTTAAATTTTAATTCTCTTAGAATTAGTATGGAATTGGCAAAGCAAATTTATGATCTAAAAAATTGGCCCAAAAACATATTAGTTAGCAGTTTGTGTTTTGAGTAATAATTGACATTATTAATTTAAATAGTCAGTGCTGGACGCATTTGTATGTAAAAAAATCAAAATAATAAACATTAATTGTCAATCGATTATAATTATGAACAAAACTACCCAAACAAAATTTTTGGTAAGTACTTATCAGCCACAGTTTTTTTATCCTTTCGTAACATTGGTGACAAATCAATACTATTACATAATTTAGTTAACTATAGAATACCTAGTCATTTTGTTAGACAAAACGATGGTTTTGAGTTCTTAATTTGTTAAATTAAAACAGTTGAACTTTTTAATTAATTTATTTTATAACAATGCATTCACAACAACAATTGGAAGAGAAGTGCCGGTTTAATGTATAATCCCGTCCGAGGTAAACTTGGTTGCCTAGTCAGCTCGAAGAGCGGATTCCAAATCTTAGAGGGTAGGTCTCTGGTGGAACAGAAGATGACTGAGGCGTATCCTAAGCGATACTTTAGTGCTGTTGATGGAGTATCTTTCTTCATCGATGGTTAAGTCACAGGAGCTTGACACAACTATGGATCTGCATTCGGGAACAATGGTGTGTCCTGTACATATTTCTTGGATGGTGGTTGATTTGTATTCCAACATTTAGTTTGACTGAAGTTGATATCTGATCGGGTGATGACAATTTTTTAAACCATTTTCCATTATAATAGTAATTTGAAGGTGGAATAATCATTATGTCGTCAGTAGAAGGAAAGGATAGGATTTTGTATAGTATATATAGTAGTTTATTTGAATAAGATCTGAACTTTTAAAATTATTGAAATTAATTTGATCAGAAATAATAACAACTGTTTTTGATTGCTGTATTAATTCATAAGGTACCTAATTAATAATAAAGATGATTCTATGGATGATTTCGCTAAAACATTTTTACATTAGAATATCCTAACTGTGAGAATGAAATTGTTCTGAAAAGCATTTCAACAAAATTTTGTAAATTATTATAATTTTGGATTAAAAGTTGTGTTTTTGAAAGGTCGTCAAAATGGTTTCGATATTTATGGGAAATGTCTTTATAAATTTTATTAAATGTTGTTATTATTTAATTATAGCATTTGTTTGTTTCTTTACAAAAAATTATTAGTTTATTTACGTTATGATTGTGATTGTGAGCATCTGTCAAATTTTCAAATTTTCTATTGATTAAATCCAGATCCGATTGATCTAAATTGACAGTGATAAATTTAACGGTTGAACCAAGAGCATTGATTAAGCCTCGTTTTGGTCGATTTCGTAACAATTTATTAAGTGAACTTTTTAGATTTTGAAGGGCGAGGTCATGAAGGGCATTAAATAAATAATAAATTTTATGGTGCACGCAGAGGGATAGAGGCGCCACCAGTAGCAGAATCCTGCAACAATGTGTTACTTTGACGAATTTTTAAATACTTTTTATCGGTTTCTGTGGTATTATTTTGTTGCTCTTTAACAACGAGGAGAGAAAATGGGGCAATTATTTGTTTCTATTTTTATTTTTATAATATACAATAAGGGGTGTATCTGAACTGATTTGGGTTGAATAATCTAAGTACATCGTTTCTGGTTTTTTTACATTTTTCTAGTCGATTGATTGCTTTTTCTCGAGTTTTTCTATAAACGTGATCGAAAAAAGGTAAAAGTTCTTTTCTTACTACCTCGACTCAAAATACGTTGTTTCGTCCCCGATTCCATGGCAGAAAGTTTACGTTTTATGCATTGGTCAAGCTATACGCGCACACTCTAATAGCGGGAGTAAAAATTTTTTAGTCTTGTGCTTAACATTCAAATTTCGTACTGCCAACATGAGAAACACAAAAATATGACAGTTTTAAACCATAATTTTGAAAATATAACAACAAATAAACAATTTATGTTTTTACTTTTTTACTTTTTATGTTGTTTTAAGTGTTTAATGGTACTTTTATTTGTTATAAAGTAGTAATTTGTTAATTAAAATACAACCTTTTATTTTTACTGTATTGGCACCGCTGAATTCACGGCCTACTGTTATTTATTTATCAAGCTCTTCAAATGGAGATAGGTACATAAATACCCATTTAATTTTTTCCCGTATTTTCGGCCGGGTTGTATTTTCGGCCGAGGTAGTAAGAAAAATAGTATACACTACACGGGCAGAAAGTGTGAGAGCCCTGAACTCATGGCGCGCAGTGCAGGAATCTCACACTTTCTGCCCTTGTAGTGTAATATACTATTCTTTCGCTTTTCGACAAAATCTTCATAAGTAGGCGTGTCAGTATTGTAACCTCAACTCGAGGGCTATAGCGAACGGCAGCTTTTCAGCGGAGAGATAGGTCGATGGGCAAATGTTGTTTTTCGATACCACGTGTATACAAAATATATTTACTAAAATTAATTAAACGCAAATTAAAATTGGGCGCCAGTGTCTTATTATGGACAGTTGTTAAAGTCCCCATAAGCCAGACACAAACTTAATGGGCATAAGGGCAATAAAAAAAAGTCCAGTTTAAAAATTATTAAGTATAATAAAATCTGGTTATCACCGTTGTTAAGGTGATTTCATTTGAAAATGATTATTATTAGGACATTTAATTATGTTATTGGTGCACCCTTATATGGCCATATATGGTTTACAAAGAACCAAATTCGATATGACTAAATTTAACATAAGCAAAATTTTATTGGTAATGTAAATAAAAACTTGAGTTACGATAAGTAAAGGTTGAAGACCAAGTTAAAGTTTCCTTAATTTAAAAATACACATAAGTTTAACGGCGTGTAGTGAACACTGTTTCTTAAAACATTACACTCTTAGAAAAGACCTGGTATTTGCAATGAAAATTTAGTTCCCAGAACCAATTTAATTAGTGAAAATAGGCACAACAAAAAAATATGTTGTGGAAACTAATACAAATTTGTTTTTACAGTTTGTTGTCGGAACAGCCAATATTGGTAGCTCCAACCAACAAGTTTAAGTGCATCGAAATTAGTTTTTTTTTCATACAAATAATTGATATTTAATGCAATCACATTAGTCTGTCATTTTAGCAGCGTCTAAGTTGTAACAACTGCACTTGCTATTTATCGCAACAAACATTGTATCATGCAGGAATTTATTTTTTAATTGAAATTACATGAAAAAAGGTACATTTAAAGAATTTAATAGTTGATATAATATAAATTTGTTTTGTATTGTAACTAAGTTATATTTAATATTAAATGCTTGCATTAGTAGCAACAACAAATTGGTATTATTCCACAGTACATACCTGCTTAGTAAATATAACACTTTTTGTGTAAATATTATAAAAAATAGAGAAAGGAAATTCATGCCCGTTCGTTTTATAAATATTTATTATAAATTAAAAAATAACAATATAACTGAAAACACCAAATTTTGGTTTAAACATTATAACAAAAATTAATAATTACTATAAGAAATCATTTATAAATATTTTAACAATAAAACAAAAACGATTCTTTGGTAAATATACACAGATAGGTACATTAAGACGAAAGTTGACTATACTTCTTCAATAAACCGTGATGTTTACGTGAAGTGCAAGCCTTTGTTTAACAACTTAACAATGATTCTTAGGTACAACGTAACATACTTGCATGATAACAGGGGTAAGAATTCGAAATTCCGACGTGATGGAGACTTTTGGTGGGCACCATTGGATTCAGGAGGCCATTTTCAGTCGGTATGGCATTTTCACATTTTTGAATTTTTTTTCGGACCCCAAAACTACAATAGTGTAATTAAAGGAGTGCAATAATAATACCTAACCTTTAAAAACTGGAACCAATTCAGGTAAACCCCATGTTCCTAATAAATCTGCTAGGTACTTCAGTCCGCTTATCCATATTATTTGTTCGAGATATCTATAAGTAACCAACACATAAGAATATATTCTTATATATATGAATAGTTAAAAATTATGTCGCCACTGAATTTACAGGGGCAAATGACTAATTGTAATAAACTAGTTTCTTACCTAAAATATACACAACACACGAGCTGATACACAAATACAAAAGAACAAACACCACCGTCTGGACGCCGTGCAACACCGTTTGTTTACAGGTTAAAAGTAAAGCACGCGCCGGGCTGGACAAATCGCGCGCGAAATGCACAAAGTTTGCAGTTGCATTAACCTACAGAGACAACATCCCCAACTGACACTTTGTTTCACACCGCTGGTGTCTTAGCTGTATGAAAAGTGACGCATAGTTTATACAACCGAACCGTTAGTTCCACGGACTAATTTCAGTCAGTTGAGAATGTTACTTAAATATTTGGTCCAACAAAAACATTTTACCGCCGAAATGATTTTTTTGAGATAATGTTGTCAATACTTCTAACCAACACAAAGTTTCAGTTAAAATAACTTAATCGCCTTTTTGCAGTAAATAATACTCCACAACAAAACTAAATCTTTTCAGGTAATGATGCAAGCAGTTACACATATAAAGGTACTGATTACAAAAAACAAAAAATGTTATTTTCTGCAACAGTTTTACCCCAACGATAATAAGTTAGTTACAAATACCAGGTCTTTTCTAAGAGTGTACTTGAACATAACATAACTTAAAAGGGGATACG